TTTATGGCTTTATGCGGTCTCTTACGAAGGACCGGTCTCAACGTCCCACTGTCGGATTCGAACCCGTGACGTAAGGATTGACTCTTTATTCCGCGTCTCTTAGAGCAGACACTCTAATCACCGTGCCACGTTGGCGACGGCAAAGATGAAACTTGAAAATGAAATGTTTTCATGCAGCAATTTTTATTTTAAGCATTTCAATGTGATTTAAGGTTTTCTGAAATCTTAGAAACAGTCTTATAAATAGTTGATATTAGTAATTTAACACCCCCCCCCCCCACCTCGAAAAAAGTATTAAATAAATTACATATTTAACGTAATCCAGTTTCTTTCCATCTACTAACAAATAGATACATGTACCAGTGCACATTTGCATATTATGAAATTAGAAATGATTTATGGTGTTTTGCACCAGGTTCTTCCCGGATGATCGGATCTGGTTTAATAATCCCTTTTTTAATGAAAATGTGTATTTTGCATAAAAATAGCATTTTCAAATAAAGAAATAACTATCAAAAAGAAAACGTTTTTTTTTTAGTTAAAATACAGTGTTTAACATCGGAATAATTTTTAAGTTTATTAGATTTTTATCAAATATGTCCAAAAAAAAAAAAAAAAAAAAAAAAACCACACACATAAAATATCGCCAACCCAGTCTACCCATTTTACCAACATGGAAATCAACAATCGTCAAAAAAAAAATCTAAAATACTAAGTACTTATAGCACAATGGATAAAATATTAAATCAGAAAAATGAAACTGCCTACCAATTTTACTTGAAACCAAAAATCGTAAAGAAAATCTATAATACCAAGTATTTAAATACAATTTTTACAGCGAAAACACATTAGCTTAAAAAAGAGTCTGAAAATTTTAAATCAGAAATTTGAAAAATCTCGAATAGTCCCGGCTTTTAATTTGCCACGGCCCGGGTTTCCTATTTTCAAACACTCTTTAAACTGGAACTCCGCGCATTTTTTAAAAATGTTTTTGCAAGAGGACCAGTTTAGAGGATGATAAAGAAGTTACCACTGCATAACATGAAACGACTAATGCATAAAAAGAATTGACAACATCATATAACAAATTAACAACATCATATAATTAATTAACCACCTCATATAAAGATGTTACCACTGCAAAGTATGATTTAAGGAATATATATAATAATTTTACTATATAATATAATGATGTTAGTACTGCACATAATAGATTTTTCACTTCATGTAAAGGTGTCGCACTGAATGAAGTTAACTTGGCACTCCACATGCAGCGGGTTTCATACATTGTAATGATTGCTTTATCACACAAATTATGTTTGTACTGTATATATTGAATTCATCACATCACAGAAAGATATCAGTAATGTATATAATGGAAAACCACTGCATATAATGATTTTACAGCATAATGTAACGGTACTATCACTTCATTACATTATTTAACCACTACATATAATGACATTGCCACTGAATATAATGATAAAACCACTGCATATAATAAAGTCATCAATGAATATAATGATTTTATCACTGTACATAATGATTTTATCACTGTATATAAAGATAAAACCACTGCATATAATAAGGTTTTCATTGAATATAATGATTTTACCACTATATATAATGACTTAACCACTTCACATAAAGGTTATACCACCTCATATAAAATGAAAATGACCTTCAGGCAGCTATGGCGTTCCATATACATGTATGTATGAAAATAATATATAAGGTGGCCGACTGGGGTCTTCATTGCGCAATACTTCGCGCAGCATAGTAAAATAAAGCGTATTTACTATTTCAAAGCAACTATTTTTACATAATTTATTCAAATCAACAAAATTAGGAAATCTCAGGTTAAAAAATCTAATTACGTTTTTAAAATAACTGATTTTTTAAAACGATTTTTTAAAATGATGGGTAGATAGACGTCGTAATAGTGTGTTTTTGACGTTATGAATTACCGAAGTTCTTTAAGAGGGATCATTAATTATGTCATAAAATAAAAAGTATAAAATAGATGCTCTTGAAATTTTAAACATAGGAAATTGAGAATCTCACAATCATTTTTATAATTTTTTTTATATAAATCTGTGGTATCTGTCATGTTTTGTAGTACTCCATAAAAACAGGAAAACATCGTGAATTTTGAGATGTCCCCTCTGGATACCAGACGGTAGAATTCATATGGTATTACTCATCAAATGATATAATTTGAGCAAAAAATCTACAGTAGCATTTGTATAATTTGCTCCGAAATGAGAGAAAATTGTAATTTCCTATATAATTCTATAGTAAATGTACCTGTATTTTGAGATGGTCCCCGAAAAATACTAAACTTGGCATGTGTACTGAAGTCAATGTAAGGTACAAATGGTATAAAATTAAAGAGTTTCTCTATAGTAGTTTTCACACAATAAAACCCCTGTCGGTTCCCTTAAGATCATACTTTTAAATTCGTATTAGAGAGTATTAAAAAAACACTATTTTTTTTTTTAGACAGGATATCTCATAGTTACATGTATCTCAGTATCTGTGCTTGTAAAAAAAAAATCAGCAAGAATTAATTATCTTTCTTTAACATAAATTTGGAAGGAAAAATGTTCTTATTGTAAAAAGATGGCACATTATACATTATTGCAGTTTTAAAGGAAAGAAAAACCATTCCATTATAAAGGTACTGAGGTTTTAGGATTATCATTATGGGATACAACAATACAACATTCATAAGCTTAATCCTAAAACCTCAGTGCCTTTATAATGGAGACCTTTAGATAGTCAGTCCCATACAAGACGCAAACATCGACAGAATGGTTTTTCTTTCTTTTAAAACTGCAATAATGTATAATGCAAGAGTCGGCAATTTTATCAATGAAAATAAATGAAGAACAGCCATAAATCCTACCAGTTATCTTCCTTATAGCCCTACAGTTTCGTGTATAAGCTGTTTTATCATAAAAAAAAAACGTTAAGTTCAAAAGGTTTCAACTGAAGGAAAATCTTGCGGCGCTACGTAACGACCAAAAAATGTACGAGTTAATTTTACCAGGGCTCTCTAGTATTTGAGGTAGAAAAACTTTATAGCGGGAAAGTTGACTTTCATAAACACAACAATATGTTAAGATTTTCAAGATTTTCGTAAGTACTGTTTTGTTAAATCTTGAACAATTGCACTGTCTGGTGGTAGGGAAAATATAACTTTTCAGACAGCTTCCAAACTTTTTCTGGCTCGCTAAATTAAGGACGTAATTCTAAATAAATATATTTAAATGTCCCTGCAGGGACGTATAGGTCTCTGACGAATGCGCCCCCAAAAGACATTTGAAAAATCCTTAAAGCCAACTTGTAACCTGAAACCAGGTACCAGATAGGTTACTATAGGTTTTTGCTTAAGGTACAAATTGAGTTCTTCCCACAAAAACATAGAGTCTTGGTTTAAGTTGGTTCACCAGTGTTCACAGGCACTGGTGTAAACAGAGACATAAATTTATGTCTCTGGGCTAAACATCTCCCTGAACTGCCTCTTGCATAAAGTTCATTGGTAATGCTGTGTTAATGTTGAAAATCTCCCTCGATGCGGGGCACCCTGTGTGTTTACAATATTCTGTTTCTCTATGTACTGTAAAGGGCAATCTCTAAAACATGACAAAAAAATGTAAAATTATATCAAATATTGAAATTTTGGTATGATAAAGTAGGAATTCATGTATATTTGCTAAATTATAAAAGTCTAAAAAAAATTCTCAGAAGGAAGGGGGTTGGGGGGGGGGGGTACACCAACCAAATTCGTCAGGTGCCTGTGGTTGGTTATGAGTGAACTGCCTCCTTTTGATTAAAAGTTGATGTATTTGGTTCAAGTTGACTTGGTTAAAGACAGTCGAGTTACAAGTTCAATAGAAAACTAAACAACAGTTTTTTTTACTTTCATTTATACCATTCGCTTGAATAGTGAGGTATATTTAGTGATGGGGTGTCCTGATCCCTACATCCTTCCTTCCATATGTCTGTTACCCTTGGGAGTAGCTATCTCTTATCTGCAACTCCTCTTCTTCCATTCAATGCAATTAAATGAAACTTTCTCAAAATCTTTATAACATAGTGGCATTGTGTATCATCTATTGTACGTTTCGATCAGACTCATATTTTGCTTTCCCATATCAATATGTGGACACTGCCATTCTTTCTGTCATATTGGGGGTACCCATCTCTCATCAGCAACTCCTCCTATACCACTGAATAAAATTTAATGAGACTGTCACAGAATATTTATTACATAGTGCCATTGTGACCTTTTATTTTACATTTTCATTGGACAAATGTTTGGTGTTTCCCATAGCAAAATATAAACTTTGCCATTATACTCATATGGGAGCGGGGTGGGGTGGGGTATCATTTTTTTCATAGTGCGTCTACTTAATCATGCATAAAGTTTTCTTCTTATGGATGAATTGCAACAAAAAACATGTAGTGTAATAATGGTATTTTCTGCAAATAGACAAAGGGAAGTACAAGCTAGAAAATGGACTTTTGTTAGAGATTGGGAAAATGAACCAACATCATCTGAAGATGACTTTAGAACTAAGGTAAGGTGTATCAATTCTATCTGTCACTCTCTTCTGAAAAGTATACTCTAATGGCAGTCCTTGAAAACAATAAATGTGCAAGAGGGCAAGAGTTAAAGATACAAAGAATTTTAAAATTTTTATTGGCATCCATCAAAAGAAAAATACAGTAGATGGTAGTTGACAAATCATTGTGAGGCAAATTTCTATATATAATTTTCATTTAAGTAAAGAAAAAGGTACCAAAAAATCCACATACAACCAGTGACCAATAGTGTGGATCTACTGTAAAGGCCATATGTCCTGAGTAGAAATATAAAAGTCATAAGTGAAGGAGTACACTTTGTCAGTTTGCCATGAATGTACAAATATGCAAGCATCATTATGTACATTCAAGTATAAAAGAAAAAAATCGTTTTTGTTTTCTCCCTCCAGATAAGTCCTCGTGCTGAGATTATAACATCACCAAAACCAGAGGTGATCCATCTTCCTGGAGGAAGACAAGTTATCAGGGGAAGCCCAGTACCAGTTCTCATGAACACAAGTAATTTGATTGGAGAATTCTTTAGTTGTTTAACATAAACTTTTAAGTTGCCCATCAGTTTTAATTTGGAGTATATCCATTACTAACTTATTAACTTGCAAGAATGGTGTGCTTGAAACTAAGAAAAGATGCTAGCCCAAACCCTGTTATGAATGTTTTATTATAACATGGTATAAACCTAGTTTATATTTCAGGTTCATCTCAACAGTACCCATCTCCCAGAAAATCTCAGCTCTATCGGGAGCAATTCACAGACAACACAATCCCTAGAGTGGATCTTCATAGTCCAGATGATCTTCTCCGGGATTCACAACACTACAATAGTTCATACCACCATAGCAAGAAAGACAACTCTGGTGAAGAGAGTGGAGAGTCACCTGCAGATGATGAAAGCACACAAAACAATCCAAGCTCTAATAGTGACATTCTGATTGAATCCACCGCTGAGGACTCAAGACTGTCTAGTTCTGTCTTTGCTAATCAGTCAGGCAAAGGTATAGAGAGAGACAAGTTAGTCAATCCAAGGGAACACAGTCAACTTCACCAGATAGAACAAGAGGTTGTTGATTGTCAGAGTACTGCTAATCGAAGTAAAAAACTCTTCATTTCTCCAAACAGAAGAAAAACCAGGAATAATAATGATAATAGTTCAGAAGTTCAAGGTAAATCAGAGCAAAGTAATCAAAAGAGGCTTGTATCAGTTGAGAGACAAAATGTAATAAGTACAGACATTTCGTGTCTACAGAGCAATGAAGTTTTGACAAGAAAAAGTCCTTCTCCAAAAAAGAGAAGGATACAGGACAAAAATTCTGAGACAAATAAAGGCCAAAGTTCAGCAAAGAAACAGTCAATCATGAATCCAGCTAAGAAAAAGAAACATGATGCGGAACAAATATCAGAGACACTAGAACAGTCTGCGATTCAGGTACGTCCAGTGATGATTCTGTTCCGATATTTAGCGGAATTCCGCTAATTTGAATCCAAGAATCTGATATTTATGAGTGTTTCCCGATATTTTGTTACTTTCTATTTTTGCAGCTATCTGTTTCTGTTTTTGTCCGGGTAAAAAAATTCAAATAGTTTAAACCATGTTTTGATCTAGTCTGCATCATCCAGACTTTTGCTTTTATCTCCAAGTAAGGTAAACCCAAACGTAGGGATGATTCAGACTTCCTTACAATGGCGTGGCGGTTCATTTCAACCAGGTCAGGATATAAAAGTTGTTGAATAAACTGTCACACTTCAATTTTCGTCACTCATTTAAACCTATTTTGTGCTTGGTAAAACCCATATTTCATCAGCCCCTCAACCTCCAACCTATTTAAGATATTTTTGCCAATTCACAGAATCACCACTGTATGTCACTCCTTGTTTGATACTGGATGATGAATGATGATAATTTTCTTATATTTATTCTGCATAACTTTATCCTTGTTGTATTGTTTTAACCTTACCTGAGCAAGAAGCTCAGATGAGCTTTTCTGATTGAAGTTTGTGTAGAATCAGAATATGTAATAGTATATTTGTCCATCTGCCAGTTATGTAAAGTTTTTCACACAAGGCCTTACTTTGTCAAAGTGAAATACAGTCATCAGATTCAAGTTGTTAAAACATACCACTAGGAAAGTTTTGACTAGAGCTCACATTGATTAATTTGGTATTGATATCTACTGATTTAAAATGCTTTGATATGGTGTAGCCTTTTAGGAGAACTGATACGCTAACTAAAACTGGATAATCAGCAACATGGTCATACTTGCACCTAGATTAAGTTAATGTTATATTTGCTCTTTTTTGAGATTAAGTAGATTTGTGGTAATAAATGTCAGTATAATAAGTCTGTATTTAGTTTAATGCAGGTAAAACAGCATGATGGACTGCATTTTTTTTTTTTAAAATGCTATACTTAAGTTGATTAAAAATGGACTAGTGAATAAATTACGACATCTCTCCTAGAAAACTCTGTTTAAAAATTGATGTTAAACACATTTGTGTACTTACGCTCTTTTATCAATTTAGATATTGAGACTGGTACATGTATTCTAACAAATAACAGCTGTAGTTTAGGTCAGAGTACTTCAAAGGATTTCTTTACATCTTAGTTACCTGTATATATCAGAGTATTGTATTTCGTGTCCTTTGAGCATCATGTACATCCTGTTTCATGTAGTTAACAGTGGAAACTCCTGTGGTACAATCCAAAGGGAAGCCGGTAAAGCCAAGAGTTATCATAACAGAAGTCACTAAAGCTGACAAAAAGAAGAAAAAGAAAATCAGAGACAAAAGCACAGGTAAAAGATACAACACTGTCTGATATGTTGTTGTTGTTGTTGGGGGGGGGGGGGGGGGAGGGGGGGGGGGGGTCAGCTTGTGAATTTAGATGTAGTCCAAAAATATTTCTATAGTTTGCCCTGCTTTGCACTATAATTCATGGCATTGCAAAGTTGCACTGTAACTATGTCTTGAATGTGTTTTGAATGACTGCACATTTTCTTTCATAGAACTGGTCATGCAAATGTGGACAGGCAGAGATGGAGTTCGTCTTAAGAAAGATGTGGTGGACCTTGATGTCATCATGCACTGTGTTACAGAAACATTAAACAAATGCAAGTAAGAAACTGATATCAAAGTTAGATTTGTGATATGGGTCTTTGATACAAGAACCAAGACATTTTTATTGGATTAAATCTAAGAATAAGTTCCACATGCAGTAAATAGAATAAAATTTTCAAGGAAATGCAAGCCTCAAAATGTCAAGGCTCCGTAAAAGCATCCTTATGTGAATGTGAAAATCCCATGGGCAGAGTTGAGCAAAAAGAAGATTCTCTGTTCAGCAATTCATAGGAAAATCTTAAATACATGATCAAGAAAAAAAACCCATAGAATATGTCTCAACCCCCCCCCCCCCCCCCCCCTTAAAAAAAATATTGCATGATATAAAAGAGACTATGAAAACTCAAGTGGATCATATTTAGCAAGTTTGCTATATACATGGGATTTTGAAAGATCAATTATATTTTGATAAACATAAGAGTAATATAAAGGTTACAAAACTTGTATATTTTTAGAGAACAATTTACAGAGAAACCACAGCAAAGGGCTCTGAGCAAATTCAGTTCTCAAATAAATGCTGACCTTGCATCACAGGTGAGATGTTCATTATTGCTCATGTTTTTCAGTTAATAGGAGCCCATAAATGAAAATTGTATTGGTAGTATATATCTAAGAATCTTTGGGTCCAACAAAAGAACTGTGAGATGTACAACCTCACATTGAGAGGACATGAAAGTCTGGAGACAATGAAGTATTTTGTCTATCATGTTTGAGTATCATGACTTACAACTAAATTTTTTTCCAGATTGAGAGTAAACAAAGCATGAAAAAAATTAATTCAAATGTGAAAAAGGTAAGCATTGTATGCACATGAATACATAAGCAAGGCAGAAAACTACTTAATTTTCTTAGAGGTGGATGACACAAAATAAACCCTGATGTGACTGATTTACAGAATACTATTTAAAGCAATTTCATAAATTTTGTGTGTTTTTTTGTTTTTTGTTTTTTATTTCGACAAGAACTTATTTTCCTCTAACAGTTTAGTTTCTAAAAATCTGAAGATTGCTTCAGTTTTGCAGTACTTCAATTACCCGTAAAGGGGCTGGGACACAGATGTGAAGCTCATATTTATGCCCCGCCATGAATATGGCCGGGGCAAATAGTGTTTGTCATGTCCGTCTTCCGTCCTTCTGTCCTTCCATCACACTTTGCATTTAGCTCTGTTCAAAGCTCAGTTTCAAAGAAACTATCCAAGATATTTTTATCAAACTTCATATGCTGATAGATATTGATGAGAGCTATGCAACTGCATCAACACTTTTTGACCTTGACCTTTCCTTTGACCTTGACCTCACTTTTCTTAAATTAGTGTCAAACTTCATATGCTGATACATACTGATGAGAGCTATTCAACTGCATCAATATTTTTTGACCTTGACCTTTCCTTTGACCACTTTTCTTAAATTAGTGTTTGGCTCAGTTTTAAAGAAACCATTCATATTTTTATCAAACTTCATATGCTAATACATACTGATGTATCCTTTTAAACTGCATCAACAATTTTTTGACCTTGACCTTTCCTTTGACCTTGACCTCACTTTTCTTAGTGTTAAATTTCATATGCTAATACATACTGATGTAAGCTATTCAACTCATCAATATTTTTTCACCTTGACGTTTCTTTTGACCTTGACCTCACTTTTCTCAATTTGTGTTAAAATGTTGCATTACTAATATACCCTCGGCGGGTATATGTCTTATGGACATATTTCTAGTTTCTAAAATTTTCTAAATAATATCATGACTTATATGTTGCTAGAGCATTTCACACCAAAATATATTAAAGGGAGAGACAATTCTTTCATCTGGAATTTTTTAAAACTATGATTTTCGGGACGTGTTTGATTAACACATATCCTTGCACTTTCACAAAGTAAACTTTATCCATGATACTTCAGAAAAGTAAAGATTTTGTTTTGTAGTAATGAAAAATATGAAAACTATAATCCAGAAAGTTCAGAGTAGATATGTGAGAAAGTAAAACCAACTCACCAGTATTGTCAGTCCATGCTCAGTGATGTACATTCAGAGTAAACAAATTGAACACACCCAGTAAAACGTAAACATTAACAATGACAGAGCTCGTGCCCTGTTAACAAACACATGCGTTTGACGTGATGTTATGAAGAATGTTGTTGTCATTGAATTCTTAGAATATCAATGTAAGTTCAAATCATTAAACTGAAGTTATTTTATTAATAAAAATAGATATTTAAAATTTTAAACAATGTCCAGGCCCATTTAAAGGAAATGTCACTGAAAACCTGTACTTATTATTGCTGTACTGAAAATACCTTTGTCTTAAATAAGGTGCTTTTAGTGTTTGTTATAATTAGCAGATTACAACATCAATCAATTTAAGCAGGCACAGGCAACACCTGCATTAACTCCCCAAATTTAAGACTTCCACTTTTGAATTGTGACATGTGCTTGACCCCTTTAAATGGAGTAAAGCCTTCTCTGTTAAATTGAACTAATTTCATGTGGTTCAAATTTATTATGCAATTTGTAAATCTCTTCATTTCAAAAAGTGTTTTTTTTTCTTTGGTCTTTGAATATGGTAGCTACATTTTACTGCCATGTTTCCAATTTCAGTCTTTTGACTATGATAATATAAATGAAGCAATTTTATAAAAGACAAATATTTGTGAAGAATACGTACAACTTAGCTGAATTACTTAATAAAGATTCTAAACATTCAAACATTTGCTCATACTACCTGTATTTGCAATAAAGCTTTATTCAGTCTAAGAAGTGTTGAAAATTGAGGGGTTTTTTATGAGAGAAAAGAAAGTTGAATTTATATTCTCATAGAATACATGTACATGCTTTCCTGACTCAATATGGAACAAAAAAGATTTATTTTTTTTTTACTAAACTTATGTCTATTCCAATCATTGCTAAATTTTTATCATTTATTTCCCTTACAGAGCAGAAAGAATATGCAAGCATTAAGGAAAGAGCTTCAGGATCTTCAAATCAAAAAAGACAAGTAAGAAAATTGAACTATAATATTTCAAAAAGTATGTAAAATAGAAATTAACCAATTCCACTGTCATCACCCTGTTCCATTGTGTTCCTTTGTTCAATGTTTTTTGTAAAATTTTTAAGTTTATAAAGCTGTAATTAAATGGTAAGTTGCTAATCTCTGATAGGATGGTGTCCTGTCCTGTTGGAATCTGTGACTCTCATTTGCTGAGATGTTTAATTATAAAGAAGAAAGGATTCATTCAAAGATTTAAGTCAACTGAAATTAGTCAGGCTTAAGAATAGATGAATAAAAAAAAATGGATGCCAAGATTGATATATTTTTGGACCTATTTTGGTTGTAAATGATGCAGATATCAAATGTTAAGAAAGAAAATAAAGGAGTTGTAATGGTACTATGGTTTTCGAAATTCTACATTTTTGCCATCACCCTTATAATTCTATACAAGTTTTTATTACTTTGTTGGACATTGTTGTGAAACTGAGAATGAAAAATTAAGATCTATATGGCTAAACTTATTCATTTATTTATATAAACATAGCTTTAGTTATTTTCCTGATTTAAAAAAAAAGTTAGTATCATCTGTCTTTAATATTGACATATACACGTGTGTATTGTAAGTTATTACTGCAGTCTGATGAGTGCCTGTCTTTATACCTGGCAACCAAATGTTGTATATAAATTTTTTTCTTCTATCACAGAAAGTATAATAAAGTTTGAAAACAAGATCACTTTATTTGGGTTTGGAAATATTAAAACTCAAACCCATAGAGAAAGAAAAATTAGTAAATGCTTTTCTAAGCACTTAGATAAAAAATGTTCCAAGATAAAAGCAGATTTCATTTGTGGAACATTAAGATTCCGTTTGATAGATCTAAAAAATAAGAGATGAAAAGTCCAGTCCAAATAAAGTTAAACTTAATCTTTAGAAGCAAAATGATAGGTAAATAACCCTTGTGGTAAGAAATTTTTATTAAAGAGTCTATTTTCTAGTCAAATTTCTAGGTTGGGGGAGTTAAATCCACACTTTAGCACTGATATTGTCATAGCCAGTTATTTGCAAAATTTGATTTTAAATGTTAAAGCACTGACAAAATAATCCATATACTTCATACAAATTCTTCTGTGTATTTGCAGTATACTGGAGAAAATCGAGAGAGCTGAGAATGAGTCCAGTGTTTATGACATCAGTAGTTGGATGTTCGGATTTCAGAAATTCATAAAAAATAACAAAACCCAGATGACAAAGCTGACTGCCATTAAGGAAGAGGTGCTGTAATCATTTGATTTGATATATTTTTTCTACCCAAACAAATGTTTATATGATACAGCTTAGTTCAATAACACTGTGTCTGTCTATATCCATCACTTTGTCAGATAATATTTTGTAATAATTCATTATGGTATCCATCACTTTGTCAGATAATATTTTTTTTTCGCAGGACTTGGTCAAAATTGTTTAGGAGGATACAATTTTTATTCCATCTGGTGGGTATATATTTTATTTTTATTACCGGTAGTCTGGATATTCTGAAGCATTTTTGAACTATCCTTAGTACTATAACCAACTTGTTAAATATTCATTCAATTTTTTATGAAGCAAAAAAAAAAAAAAAAAAAAAAAAGAAAAGAAAGGAGGTGGGAGGGGTTAAGATGGCATACTTTTCCCTCTTAATATTGATTCATTTTAAAATTACACTATATATTTTTAGCAGGGAGTAATGGTGTCCAAAACTTTGGTTAATTATTTTCAATTATTTTGAACTTATTTACCACAGAATCCTAAAACTTTAGCTTACCTAATCCACTTACCCACTTGTGGTATGTAGCAAAATTGGGCAAAAGGGCACAAAAAATGTGACTTTCATGTTCCAGGCCACCCTTAAGCTTTAGTAATGGGGCTATAATTTTCAAATTATAGAGCAGTTATTCCTTTTCTAAATTTTGAAAGAAATTGACCCTTAGGTCCAAAGTTCAGGCCTCTGAGTCGTATAACTTGCATACAACATGCACATGTCTTTAAAATTTTGTTTTATATAGTAGGTAAACAGTTAGTATAATTACAATGGACAGTTAATGCTACATGTACCAAAGAACTATATACAGTAAAGGCATATCCAATGCCCCCATAAAAGTGAAATTTTGAAAATCTCTTGAAATGTGGACAATTGAATGTAATTGTATAAAATAAGTTTGAATTAACAAAATGTATGATTGACTGAGGAAAAATATTGACATTTTTATCTCTGTGACATCACAATAGATTTAGATTTCCCGTTATTTAACAAAAAAAGGACAGAGAGGAAAAATGCACAAATTTTGTTCAATTTTGACTTTTAGTTCTAATAGAGCGAAAACTTCCTCAGGAACCATTTTCACATATTTCATTGAAATTATCATTCTACACTTTATATCAAATCAATCATTGTCATAAAATACACTACATGTATTTTCTTTAGAAATCATTGAAATGGCAAATGGTGAATTTGTTGTTTTTGACATCTTATTTAACTAACGACATCAGGGTGGATGAAAATTTTAACTTTGAAGTTTGCATATATCTTCCTGGCTTAGAGCATACTTTAAGATTTCCCTATCAAAGTTTGAATTTGGGGGCAGATTTCCGAATTAAAAGTCCTTTCTGTATAGGTGTGTATATTTCTTCATTCAGCATCCAAAATATCATAGCACACACTTATACACATGTGCCAATTACATGTACTATTATCCTTTTATTTGCAATACTCAGTATATAAAGAATGAGAGTTTATCAATGTAGGTAGAATTTGCGTTTTGCTATATAAAAAAATAATTCAAAATTACAAATGGTTTAATAGAGAAGTGGGTCTTGGATTGATATGTAATTTGTTCTGCCTCCTTGATTGTAAGGTTAACCTATTGATGATATCAAAAGATATTAGGTCATTGATCTATGGGAAGGCCAATCAAATGTACACAAAGCTGAATAGTTTCTTTGTAACCTAGAATTGGTGCCTTGCAAAACAAAAAGATGATTCATTGTGTTAGACTGTGTTTGAATCTTTTAAATATAAATATGCCTTTTTATTGTTTTTATGCTTTGAATGTAACTGTATTTACTTCCTTGATAACATTGATAAACATTTTAATGAATTCTATTTAATTAAAGATTGGGATATGTATTTTGAACAAAGATAAGATTCATGTAACATGCACACAATGGACTGACAGTTCTTATTTAGGTACACTGATGACGCTGCTATTCAAGCAGTGAATAATTGTGTTTTTTAAATCCACCACTGTAAGTTGTTCCTAATTTTGTCTTTATCTGAACTTGTGTCTGAAGATGCTCTTTGTAAAAGCCTTTGGAATTTTTACCTGTATAATTATTGCCTGTGAACTATCATATTCATTGGCAAGAAAAAGTGAAAATGGTAAAAATTTATTACACACATTGCTGGTCCACAGAGAGAAAAGAAGCTCTCAGAAGGAGGAATTCGAGGAATTTCTGGCAGATCTAAAGGGGTTGTTAATGCGACAGCCAGAAGAGAGAATTGTTGATTATCTTTCCAAAGTGAGTAAAGAACAGACAGAAAAAACTACACAGAAGACTACAATTGCCCAGTCAACAAAACCTCAGATAAATCTTGGAACAGTGAAGATCAATGAGGACCTTTTAATGAGAATGGTCGATCATCACGGTCAAAAGACATTTAAAGAAGCAGACACTAAAAACCCCAGGACCAGTAAAATGGCAGAAACCCTCTTAGAAGAAGACACACACGATTATCACCCCAAACCAATATGGCGGAAGACTGTGAAAGGCAACAAAAGAACTTTTCTGAAGGGAGATAACATCTTGTGGATTGATGGCATTATTCCATATAAAATCAATGAAAATGTCGGCAGTAAATGTCAACAGGAAATACAGTCAGCCATTGCAGTTTTCCATAATAAAACCTGTATCAGATGGGAACCTTATTTAGGCAGTGGTCAAGATCATGTGGAGTTTTTTATGGGTGGGATGAGCTCATCATATGTTGGAAATATAGAAGTGAGCAAATACAGTCATTTATATAACTTGACTAGTCAACCAATCAGCATTGAATCTAGCCACTGTTCCCTCCATGTGGTTCTTCATGAAATGGCCCACACAGTGGGAATGACCCACGAACAGAGTCGCAGTGACAGGGATAATTATGTTACTGTCCACTGGGAGCATGTTTTAGGTGGGAAGGATAACCTAAACTTGGTCAAAGAAGAAACTGATAATCATAATATTCCTTATGATTATTCTTCTTTGATGCATTATTCTGTCTTTGCATTTTCAAAGGATGGCAAAAAGACTCTTGAATACAAAAATACAGACTATGAATTTCTGGGTCTTAGAGAAAATTCTCTATCTTTCTATGATATTGAGGACATGACCAAAGCATACAAATGTTCACAGAAATGTCCAGACCTGAAGTGCCTGAATGCAGGATATATGGATCATACTTGCACTTGTAAGTGTCCAGAGTACCTTCGAGGTGAACATTGTGAAGATGTGATAACAAGTGATTGTGGTGGGATAGTAGAGCTATTTGCAGAAAATGATCAAAAGTCCATCTTATCACCTAACTACCCTCAGTCATATTCAGTTGGAGACACCTGTATTTGGTTAGTGAAGGCTCCAACTGGAATGAAAATTGAGATCACCAGCAGTGATTTTGATCTTCCAGATGGTAATTCAAATCAATGTTATCATTGGCTAGAAGTTAGGTCCAATCTGATTGGCCAACCAGGCCCATTATATTGCGGAGATTCGCTTCCAGTGATTGAAACATCTTTAGGGAGTGAATCTCACCTACTCTTGCTTAAGTTTGACTCTTCTTACCAATTCACCAAATCTGGTAAAGGTTTTAACTTGATTGTAACATCCAAACTTAGCCCAATCCAGACGGGTTTAACCCCTTTTTCAAGTATTTCGAACACTTTTTGTGAGTTACATCCTGATTGGTGTTATAATAGGGGATCATGTGTGATCAGCAATGATGAAGTCAGCTGTGTCTGCCCAGATCAGTTTTCTGGAAAATTTTGTGAACATGACGAAAATCTTAATCAAATTGCAAATCAATCTCCAGTTGAGTTAGGAACTTATATTTGCAAACCAGCAATAAAATGCAGTATTAAAAATTTAACGGGTAAATATGCATGGAAAGTTGTTGACAATTTTCTAACGGTCACCCCAAGACAAGGAACAAAAGGAGATGAGGCAGAAATGTTCATCCCATTCAAAATTGCTAATCGTGACATGAATTTGGAATTCACATTTAGGTGTTTCAGTGCTGGTAAATCTGCTGTTACGTTAGAGGTCACACGTTACATAGAGAGTACGTATTACCAGTATGATGAATCTGTATACATAGGACGATGTGATGAGTCGGGGGCTGCGAAAGACGTATCTATTCCTATTTATCCGTTTTTTGATGAGGAATCCACAATTTTCTTCAAAGCAAAGCTGCAAAATGATGGGGATTTCAATATAGCAATTGAACGCATCTCAATTGCTGAAATTCATAATATGAAATAGTGAATATTTACATGTGCATGTAAGCAACTTTGGTTTTTAGAATTCTGTTCAAGATTGTATATGTTTGCATTCTGTTGGTTTTTTTCTAGCCTGAAGTGCAAGATTTTTTAAGACAGATTTTAAAATAACCTTTTTATGGCAACTTTAATAATTTGATGTACACAAATTTCTCAAAAGTTCATAGTTTTTTATTCGATATTTTGCAGATTTGTTAAATTATTTACTTTTTTCAGGATTGAAGGGAAAAAAAGGCATTGAACATACAGCGGTGAAAGTGAAGTTACTGAACACGTTACACAAATCTGAAGTTATCATTATGTTAAAAACAAGACAATGTAATGACTTTGTATTACATGGAATATCATTAAAATGACATAAGCTGAAATTACATGTTAAGATTGACTTTTTAAATCGAAGCAACTTAGAAGATTAATTAAATTGATCATGACTTTGTTTTGTTTTTATTTCTTGGGCTGGTACAAGTTAGCAACACATAGTTTATCCTAAATAATTATCTACATGTTATTTAAAAGATTAGGATGTGCAAACGATCAGCTGGTATTGATATTGTGGGTAGCACTGAACGACACTGCAGTGCTTTTAACCTAGATGCAGTTTAACAAGCAAATTCAAAGAACTGTGGTCCCCCGCTTTTGTGTCTTGGTGCTTGGGATGCATTTATTTATGACGTACTTAGTATTGTAACTGTCTTGTTTGTGTTTCCTGTCTAGTCTGTCCATCATACAAAAAGATATAAATTATTGAATTAATAAAAGTTATGGTAAAGAGTAAAGCTTCCTAAAACTGCATCAAACTTCAAGATGAAGGTCTTGTGGTCAAATACCAAGTTAAAAATAATATTAAAATTTTTTGAAAAGTAGATTAAACTTTAAAAAAAATCAGGGTCAAACACCATAGTATATTTTGGAAAGGTCTTGTCACAAGTAATGTACATGTGAAATCTTTTCCGTTCAAAAGTTATAACCAAAGTTAAAATATTTTGTGACAGACAGACTGACAGACGAATATGAGTTTTAATGTCCGCTCGCTTTTTGGAAAGCGGATGACAATAAGAATGGTTGCGATTGTTGTCAGAGAGAATTGGTTTAACACTGTTAGTAATTCTGGATGATGTTTGTACCAATTTTAGATATACGTGATAGATTTACAATCAGATTAATTGTTTGTAACCCATCAAAGGGTAATCGAAACAATGTAAAGACAGCTGAGATCTTTCGAACCGTTAAGTCGACATTGTTCAGCCAAACTACACAATGATATTTTTAACGGGTTATTGAACAGTCGAAAAGACGTGCGATCTTTACAACTTGTTTGAAAATCTAATCTTTTTGATAAAAAATAATAGAATTAAATAAGGTGGAAGACATTTAATTGCGTTTTAAAATTGTTCCATCTTCCATTCTTTCGTGAACTTAAAACAAATGGAATGTCAGGCAAAGTAAAAAAGGCCCCAGTGCCAGACTACTGGGATATGTGGATATATCCGTCTTGTCTTTAATCTTGCATATATGCCAATTTATCCTCTTCCCCACCTCCTCCGTTCCCGTCATGGAAAAGCAGGGGAATTCTCTAAGACGAGTCGGTACTGCTGAGTAGAGTAAACTCGGTAAGAGCAGATACTGCAGTGTCTACCGACTCCAGTCTCTGTATAACCTTCTTTGTCTGGGCTATTTCTGACATTGTAGGCGGACGTTTCTTCGATTGAGATTGAAATTTACTGAGTAAAGGACCCTCTTCGTCCAAACCTTCGGGCGTTTCCTCTGAGTCTATTGAGTCAAAGTTTGATGAGGGTTTTTCTTGTTTGGCAAAAGTAGGAGGCAAGTTTGATATAGATTTCGGTAATATTTCATCCGTTGACTTCCCAATGGTAGTCTTTGGAAGAACGGATATATCACTTTTAACCTTTTCGAACCTAGTAAAACGTTTGAGTTGCGTTTTTTCTCCGTAATGACTAAGAAGTCCCTGTTCAAACATAAATATAAGAAAAGCTATTCCCACGCTTACACTTCCAACTATTGTCAGCTCTGACTTCTTTTCTCTGAACCAGTCTCCCAGATCTAGAAATTCCAAGTGACAAGCCAACAACAGAAAACTACCCGCGCAGAGAAGCAGTGTCATTGGAATTAAGAGAGTGCGTATTTTCCAAAATTGTCGTGCTCGATGCTGTCTTTCCTTTCTCCACTTTCGACGGCGTTTGATGTATTCTTCCTGTTTGAATTTGTCCACTTCTGCGAACCATATACTAAATTGTTTGATCCGTTCTTTTTCTTTTGCTACTTTAAGATTTTTCTGGATAAAACAGCTGCAAAGCCTATCTTCTTTAGTTCGTGACCTGTATTAAAATTGAACATAATGATGAGTAGTCGAATTTCAGAACCGTGTTAATTAAGCAGTGCTTTGACAGATATATACGAACCTGTTTGGAAAGTGGTCCACCTCTTCATATTGAAAAGAAAGATTAGAGCTGTGTAGTGGACTTCTGATAACATTAAGCATGCTGCTTGATCCGTACTGGTCTACCACTTGTTAACCACCCTTCACTGTCCACATCATGCATTTGATTTATTTTGTTGTGTCCTTCCTTGCTCTGTTTCCCTCCAAAAGCACTTTACATATAGAGATACAAGGATAGATTTCGTAAAGGAATCAGATATCACAACACTGTGACGTTAGATTAATGTTTAATAAGCTTTGCAGGACGGAGTCCAATCGTGATAAAAGTTTGACAGTTTGCATGCGGTTTTTCATAGTATATCTTGACAGACGGTTTGTCTCCTTATATGCCCTTGTAGATTTTTTTCTGAAATATTTTTATCCTATTGATTCTTATTTCTTATTTTGAGGACATTTTTAAAAATTCTTAACTCGTGTGTCAAATTTTACGCTGCATTGCTAACGGCGCCATAGATAGTTATGAACAAGTAACTTAATACAGAACTGGTGTCTCATTGCATATTTTTTTTGTGAAATTTAAATAGAACGTTTAATATTATCACAATCGTTAAGCACCTGATCGATCTATTTCTCTGAAGGTATTTTCCAATTTTCTGTAAAGTTTATTTCAGACATTGACTCTCTACACATTAAACCGATCCATTTCCCCCTTGATTTTGTAACTTAACAGAAACCCCGAAGTTCTTGTTCACTAGTCCCAAATACGTTGATATCCGAATTATTTTCTGGACTATGAATTAGGATTTTTATTTCCGCACATGATTGAATGTTTGAACTATCACCTGAGTTTTTATTGTGTAGAATTGATTGGGATGAGTAGACAAGTACTTCCTTTGATTTTTTACTCTCTGCTGGTTCTTTTTCACCACTTTTCATTGGGATTTTTGGTCTCTGTATTAATTTGTCCGTGTCCGGAGAACCTGTTTGGAGATCGGTTCCTATATTAGAAACACCACATTCACTTTGAACGTTTTCTTGGCTTAAAGGGATATGTTCTTGGTCCTTGTTAGAAGTGTCTTTTCTTACATTTACACCACTTTGAAATGTTCTAAAAACCCGCAGTTTATTCATTGCTCGTAGAGTTGCTTTATTTGTTTTGGAAGTGGTGTTATTATGATGCCGAGAGGACGGAATAAATTCTTGAAACAAAAAATTTGAATTTCCGGTTTGCTTTACATGAAGCTGACTTTTATATTTCGCTAAGGTTCTGTCCCTGTTCTTCATTACAGACTTTTGTGCTGTTATGACACCTTCAAGCAAACGGAATGATACACTTTCAGGTCTGTAGGGCAAAGCAGTGGATGTTGGTGATTTAACACATTTAGCCGATATGATTGGTGGTTTTTCTTTTTGCTGTCCTTGGTTTTCTATCATCAGCTGCATGTCTTTGATTTCATGAACACGGACCTCCTCAGAAAATGACACCTGCGAATTGCTTGAAGAAAGTTTCCGATTAGAGTGTTTTTCATTTGTAGAGAGTAAAGTGAAAGATTGCTCAAATTCTTCTAAATCTTCTATTGAATGGCACATATTGTCTGATGAGTTAATAGATGAATGTAAAGAAGCTGATGTATTTTTCTTAGAATCTGATTTTATTGACTTTCTTATAGCGACAAGTCGTGTGACTTTTTCCCTCCGGTTTGTGACTAAGGCGATAGAAACCAAAAGTAATCCAACTCCTACAATCAAAAGCACAGGTCCCAGGATATAGAATATTTCCCGATGTTTCCAGAGAAAGGTTTTCTCACTGAGGCCTCGCACATTGCTCCCGATGGAAAACACAAATCCAACTACTAGACACCCTAAAGTTGGGAGATACAGTTTATTGTAGAGCTGTAAACGCCTGTCCATGTTTATCTCCTGTTTTCTACGTCTTTTGCTATCGCGTCTTTTGGAGAACTCTTTATCCTGAACAGTTGTAAACATATCATTTTCCTCGTTAAACTTGTCCACAGCTTTGCGGAGGCTCTTGCTCTTCTTACCTTTTTTCTCCATTGTAACTGAACTAGCGTCTCCTACAACGAAAGGCGAATTATAAAATCTGTAGATAAAGTGATCTCATCGTGCACCCACGGTGCACGCGTTTTTACATGTGGGATAAAACTAATCCTTGAATTGCAGTTACTGTCGTCAAATCTTCACTGGCATTGTTTAATCATACAATTACTGTTGAAGTCATAATGTGATTCTAATACCTTAAGAAGATTTTCGGGACAGACTTCGAAAATTAAAAAACTTAAAAATGCATGTTTGCTTCGGAAACAGTGACGTTCACTTAAATTTAACCATTGCATACTGAAGAGAGCTATTGCTGCATTTTGTAAAGATTGGTTGCTGCAGTATTAATTATATTATCATTTTTTATGTGCACATTAGGCCGAACAAATAATTAGGTTCTTTAAAGCATTGAAAAATAAACAAACTTGCTATGACATTAAATTAATTTTCACCACTACTTTGTATATACTTATGTTTACTTCCATTTGTCCAAAAGCAAGTTGAAAGATGAAAAGTCAACATTGTGGAGTTGACGGCCAAATAAATGCTCACATATATTTTTTGCACCACTCAATTATTCATTTCTTACAAGAAAAAAATTCAATCGAAGCTTTTTTGTTATTATTGTCACGTACCTGCCATTACTTTTGCGACAGTCACCTTAGAACGTTAATTATAGGGTGAAAGTAATCGTATGGGCAATATAGGTTATTTATAGATTTACGGAGAATGCATTACAGTGTATAGCTTGAAGCTTTGTGCGTCTACATATGAATTTTGATAATTCTTTAATACGAAAAGCTTTTTCAACACGTTTAAGGCAGAATTGCGAGCTGTGTTATTGTTAAAGCCCCCGAAATCTGACGAGACTGAAATAGGGAAAGAAAATCTGATCAAAAATTTATATCAAGTCTAAATTCAAAGTACTAATTGGGATTAAGGTTCTCTTTGTTTTTGGAGGAAAAATATAAAATATTTGAACTCGAGGGGCTAAGTGTCACGTTATGTAATTGTAAATCGAATTTTGAACTGAAGTATAATCCGTAGATTTAGTGACGTCAAGAGAAGGACATCCACTTTAAAACTTAAAAATGATTAATGCATTATCCTTTATAAAATCCAGTGTTTAAAAATGCTTATGACTAATGTTCGACCATTTATATCAAAGGCCAAGAGAAGAAGAAAATTTAGACTTTTAACTAGATTTATAATTCTGTTTGATTACAATTAATCTGAACAATAGACTTGTTGATTGACAAACGTTTAAATAATTGGAAAAAAAAATAAAGAACAAAAAACGAAGTTTGCCATAACTGACGTATATGTTCAGGTTAGCAATGAAAAAGAGGAGTCCTATGGACAGTAACACTCACAAGAACCCGCCTCCTTCACAATCCCACATCGAAACAAAAAGTCTCATGAATTACGGGTTTAAAGAATTTTCTACAGGTGAAGAATGTTTATTTCTAAATATAGAGTCTTGTTAGACATGGTTTATAAAAAAGATTATAAATGAAATAAATATTGTTAGAGCTACCACGGAACGATGCTTAAGATACAGCTACTAAATTAAATTAAATGATGCATTATATGACTGCCGAGGTACACTTTTGAGTAAATTTGGCACACATAAGTCCAGCCATAGAACAATACAAAAATCTCTGCGCGGTTCGTGCGTGATAGCCAAAAGAGATTGAAAATGTCTTAAAATAGATTATCTCTTATCCCCTTCATTAATTTAAAATATGATACATTTATAAGTGAACTTTTTCACTGTAATTTTGTTAAAATAATGTGTGAATAATACTTAAATTGCTATCTGTTAACAAGAGTTAAATGTGGTAAGATCATAAAAATCAGCAATACAAGGGTAAGAATTCTGGTGCTGCAAGAATTTTTTTGGGAGGGGGGGGGTCAAAAAGAAGTGTTTTCCCAGTACTCTAATTGCAACATTTTTTGGTGAACAAAAGTCTCAGAAATGTAGCCCTTGTTATTCAACAAACTCAAATCATATATACCTGTTTAAGATTTTGCTCCTTTTAACATGGAGTTTAAATATCTTGAAATTACTGAAAATGAATAGGGTGTGATAACCCGATATCACGATATCAAAGACTTTCATATTCTGTGGCGAGCTGGGTAGGGTTGCCGCAAAAATACTCGTATTTTCCAGGACGGTGGGAAATACTGGGAATTACTGATATTTCTCGGAAAATACTGGAAAATAAGAAATAGCCACAAATTTCACAATTTTAATCATATTTGTTTGGGTATAGACATGTAGTACACCTTATTGGCTAAGATATCTACCTGCTATCACTGTCCCTTTTAAAATTTCTGGTTTTAAATTGGAATATACCAGTGAACCAGATACCATATGAACAAATATTCAGATACCAGTCATGAGTACATTTGTTTCATGCTTGAGTCTGCAAGATTTGCATACAGGCTGTAATAGTACATACATATGTTTCGTATTTCAATTTAAATATCTTTCTATATCTATCCTGTTTTTAACATAAACCATATATCAAATAAACCTATAGACCTCCTTTAAAAAATCAAATGATGACGAAATTGCACGACAAATGAAAGTAACAACTTCGATCAAAAATAATTCTATCTAATGATGTTTATTTTAAAAAAAATAGATAAATAAAAAGAGGGAGGGAGGGAGAGAGAGAGAAATGTATAAAAACTAGAAAATATTAAACTGAAAAAAAAATCCTGACACTGGTATTTTTAGGTCACCTGAGTCCCTCAGGTGACCTATTGCTATCCGTTTTTGTCTGGCGTCGTGCGATGTGAGTTAACATTTGAACATTTTCAGCTTCTTCTCTGAAACCGCTGAAGCATTTTAATTAATTGCAGTTCATGCACATGTATGTTCTGAGGAATACTTAGACATTCAAACGTTACTTAAAGTGGTAAAGGGGGTGGATGGGGGTGTCTGGCCATCCATTTCGACCAGAAGTAAACATTGCTTCAAACCTTGTAAATGTACCATAATTTGACCACATTCCATGTCCTTGGGATAAATAAACAATAAATGCGCAA